ACTATACCTATGGCCAATCGTCTACGCTTCTAAACAAAAATACATAACTATGTCATAGACTTATACAACAGTATACTGCTTATTCGACTTTTTGAACCGACAATAATTGCTTTGAAACTTTTATTACTTAAATGATCATCCCCATTGACTCGGGTTTTAAATTTCCGCCAGAAAGGTATTTCCGGGGTTTTTTTGGCGCCAAAATGGTCGGCAATATGTCCAACTGGCAGGGCAGGGACGGGGACTTTAAAAATTGGATTGTGACAGTCCCCGCTTTTTTCCCGTGTTGATCGTGTTTTTTAGTAATACAATATTTTAAAAGAAGAGTTTGAAATCTTTCGTCCTATACCACTCATTTTATTGTCAATAAATACCAATACTTGAATAAAAAACATGGTATTTGTACTGTATGTATAATAGTTTTTCTATGTTTTTTTTTCAAGATAACACATCATTTTACATTCAACCATCATAATATTCATTCAAAACCGTATTGTTTTTGTACATGTTGTACATTGCATATCAACAGAGATGACACACAGACACTTAAAGCTACATCATTTGACATTTGTGTACAGAAAATCACCTTTGTTGTACCTAAACATTTTACCGCACATAATTAAACATATCTTAAATGCTTTAATTTCCCTTAAACGTATTTTATATAAAATAAACCGTAAAACACAGAAAACTGTAATATGTGCATTTGTTTCAACTATTCTGGAGTAGAACAAATCTATGGATAAATTTGATAAATAAAACGACCACATAGTCAATCTTGTTTAGTTTTTGACCCTAGCGAGCCGAAATGTTTTTTTTTTTTTTTTTTTTTTTTTTTTTTTTTTTCAAATACATTTAATGACGTCACAGTAGCAAACCTCTCTCACGTGCTTAGAATTTACAAAACATAGGCACATGAAAACTACCGGAAAAAGGCAAAACTGGCTCTGAGTTTATTACGATATTTCCCGAAGTTTAGTCGATATTTACCGATCGCGATATTTACCGTTCGTAATCCGTACTCGAGAATTATTGAGAAAATAGGTTAAAATCTGTTCCAGTGACCTTGTAAAGAACAGAGAATTAAAAATTTAAAGCTATGTTTGGATAATGAAACGTTTAAAAATTAAAAATTTTCGTAAAATATTTGTAAAATTTACACGCAATTAGTTTTTTAGAGTTTTATCTAAAGGGATTTAAATGTACGTTTTTATAATGTTGAATTTTGCAGTAATTTTTTATTTACGACAACAGGCAGACAAATTTCACATTAATTCACTAAGTTTATACAGAATAAATTAAAGGGCGCTATAAAATTGTAGACACACTATTGAATATATTCCTGGAACCAAAAAGGCAGACCGTGAAGTAGTTGCACACTTGGTTCAAGCGAGAAAATTGGTTGCAATCTTGACAAAATTGCAACCGAGTCACGTGGCTAACGATCCTTAAATTTATAAGTCCGATGCGTTAACCACTCGTCCGTGTCGGAACCTAAAATTAATTTAACAAGCAGTGTATCCCAATGCAATCCTACTGTTCATAAGTCAACGTATAAGTTACAATGTTATGTTACTACGTAGTTTTTATGTACAGAGGTCTTGCAGATTAAGGTACTTTCCCCCAAAAAAAAGTCTAACATCGGCCAATATCGTAATAAATCGGTCGTTTCTGGGACCTTATTTTTTCAAAATATTCAAATTAAATATTTTTTTGAACCGTTTATAACCGGACATTAATACATAGCAATAATGGATGAGTGATGGTATATAACTTAATGTCCAAGACTTTGAAAACAAGTTACGTTCCGGAAATAACCGACTTGCTACGATACTGGCCGATGTTAGACTTTTTTGGCGGGAAAGCATTAGAACAAAACTACCTTAAGACCAACTTATTTATTACACTGTTCTTTTGCTTCATTGCTTACTTATTTGTTTAATAGTTTTTTACTTCATTGCTGACTAATTTGTTACATCGTCTTTTACTTAAATACCAACTTATTTGTTACATCTTCCTTTTACTTCAATGCCAATTCAATACCAACTTAAATCGAGTTGTTCTTGTTTTGTTTAAGGCTTCTTTTGTTGTTGATGTTGTTTTTCTACTTTTATTTTAACTAATTTAGTTTACAAATACAGTAAATTTATGTGTACAAATGCAAGTTTCCAGTTATAAAAGGTCAAGTAAAGAAGATTTAAGTTTGTAAACACTAGTTGACACCGGACTTGTTTTACATGACAGACGAGACCCGTGCTGTTTGTCTGTGATTAATGCACTAGTCAGGTGTCTGTCAACAAGTCCGAGGTGACGGCAAAGATTTTTTGTTGTTGACATATATATATAATATATATGTTTATCATCCGGTCTCATTCTGAATAAAAAATAATATATTCAATTAACGTTTAAAAAACTAAATGCTATATAATGGGTGATTAAAACAGCTAAAAGGAAGAAGCGGGCGGCGACTAACTTCCGCTCATCTTCGGGCGGTTTGTCCAAATAGATGTCAGTTATTTCAATGAAAAAACTTTCAAAATTGTTGAAAATAGTTTATGGGAAAAAGACAGAAGGAATAATTTTTCAAAATTCTTGCCCCCTCATTGCACGAAATAGTTGGTCAAATACTAACTGCGTGTACATATATTTACTTATATCAAAGTAAACATGTATGGCTTGACGGGATCGCAACGGTGGGAGTGAATTATATTCCATCTTTTTCACTTCTCTTTAGGCAGACAGTGCAACAATACTTATTCAGTGTTTTTATCAAAAATGTCTTATTCTACAAAATTAAGTACACTTTAAAGTGAACTGACGTTGATTTTTCTATTTACGTCAACTCATATTTCCGAGTAGGGTAATAATCTGTTTGCGCTTGCACGAGACAATAGCAATTAATCTCGGTTTTGAATAGCCAACTAGGCGCAATTTTAAAAAGAACTATAACAATAATTATAATAGAAATTGTATAATCTGATCAACTTTCAAATCGAATCACAGTTTTAATGAATAGAAATGTTAAAAAATAATACTGATTTAAATTGTTAAAGAAATGTTTTATGCATAATTTCTGCTCTCTTCAAACAGAACAGAACAGAACCAATAAGTTCTACAAAACTGTTACAATGAACGTATATTCAGAATTCATCATTAAAATAAATACAACTTATGCAAATTGATTCTTGTGCCGCAGTATACTAAATCATTGTGTTTATGTGCCAGTTAGCAGGTTGTTGCAATTTCAAATCGCATGCGGAATGGACTTCTATTTTCATACGTTTGTATTTTTAAGATGGTCATGAAAATGTCGATACGCTAGTACATGTGATTTCTTTTGAACTTTAAGTACTATATTATCATACACCGAGAATATACACTAAATTTAAACAACTTCCAATCAACTTTTTCATTACCCTTCCTTTTATCGCACTTTAATGACATATGGCCAACATATGTTTTCTCGCCTTTCTCTTTTGTTAATGGTATATTCAAAGCACTACATACGTACTGTTTAAATAAATGGTTATGTCGGTAGGCTGTCATCTATTTTAGTAAAACCTTTGATAACTAAAACGTGGTGATAACCCTATTTATACAGACAGTTTCCCTTGTATTAACTACTACATGTCTGGCTAATGGACTTTTATAGTTAAAGCGTCTTTATCAACAAATGGTTGTTGATGTGAAAAGTAAAAGATTAATTAACAAGTCTAAAAATAGTAACAAAATGTGTATATTGTTCAAAAGTCTAAAAAAAGTAGTGAAATGTGTGTATTGTTCATATGTCTTTCAATAGTAACGGAATATATCTGAACTTCTATGGCAATGATGCAATTTAAGTCAAGTTTGAGCGTTCATTCATGGTGATATAAACGCTTTAAGCACAGCATCTCAGTGATAAAAACGCTTTCAACCAAACATCTTAGTAATATAAACACTCCTTGAACAGCATCTCGTGATTAAAACGCTTTCAGTCCAACATCTTAGTGATTCAAAGGAATTCTCAATGATCATAGAATCTTTATAACTTTTTTTTCGGCCGAAGGACGTCTGATCTCACCTTGACTTCCGCTAAAATTAACAGTAAAGAAATGAATATAGGCAGAATTCTTTCGACAAAATCTTTCGATAAATTCAATGGACCAGGCGGCTATGAACGAAGCTATCCGATTATGTGGTTCCCAAACTTAAAAGCGCTGCGCATTTTGCACACGGCAAAGCTGGGGCCACATAATCGGATAACTTCGTTCATAGCCGTCTGGTCCATTGAATTTATCGAAAGATTTTGTCGTTGGAAAAAAACGGCGATAATATTGATGTTTATTTCGGCTGTTGCGTTGTTTATATTACCGTTGAAGTTTAAAATTGACCATCATCGTGAAGAATTATATCTTCTGTGTCGATGGACCAAAGGATTATGTGAAAATATTGGAAATGGAATAAAATACATGGTGATTATGACGGTAGGGGTGCGGATTTTTTCCGGCGAACATTTTTATCTTGTGTATTATTATAGTTGTTGAAATATGATTTTTTTTCAAAACGGCATATATTAAGATTTTTTGATATATATGATCAGTACATGTCCTGGGATTGACAAATATGCATTTTATTTGGATTTTAAAGGCGTTTTGAGCTCCAAACCCCAAATGTCTGTGGTTAGCATGGTTAGTAGTAGCTTATCCTATGCAAGTTAACAAATTTGACGACTTCGGCCGAGTATCTTTTTAAAGATACTTCTTGGGGTTTTTTTGCCTTTTTTCTTTCTTTTTTTTTTTTTTTCTTATATTTTTTGTTGTTGGTTTTTTTTTTGTTTTTTTTTGTTTTTTTTTGTAAATCGCCATGTCAAATTAACCGATGTAGGTATGAAATAACTCACCTGTCCTTGACTTCTTTATAATAATGCCCTTCCATTTTTACCACAGCGTCACCTTACAAATATATGCGATTACTTCGGCCTTTAAATAAATTATAACACGCCATGTGATATATGGTAATATACTGCTTTAAATAATTATAACATGCCAAAATAATTGCTGTGGTAGTGTTGAGGTTTACATGAACGAAGGACGTTTGTAAAATGTGAATTATTTACTGGAATATATATAAATTTAAAAAAAAAACTATTTAATATTTGATGAAGGATTTCTTTAGTCTCTATTTTTTTTTATTTCTTTATGTCTATTTGTTTATTTTTTACATAAATTAGCGTATTCGTTAAGGCACTTGCTAATTGATATTTTTTTGTAAATCGTAAATTGACTTTTCATAGTTAATGACTGGACGTACTTAAAACATTTATGTATGTATATATACATGACCGTTAGGTTTGCATATCTTTTTTAATATTTCTATGACAATCGCAAAGATATTTCGACATGGGGTTCATTTTAAACAAAGGCGCACTATTTATAGTTATTTTTTATTTTCATTAAATTTCAGTTTTACATCTCGTGTACAAAATTTTTTGTAATCATACATTTTAAAAATTTGCGGTTGGTCAGTTAAAATTTAACGTACTGTGTTTACAGAAATTGTACTGCACTCGAGAAATATGCTGAATTTAACGTTTCACTTGTCAGATTCTGGGGAAAAAACATGCAATTAAATAATTTATTATGTTAAAATGATAAATAATGTGTCTTAATGCGCGAAATATTGTACCGCCTACTAGAGTTAATTCAAAATTTTTGTTGTTGTTTTTGCTGTTGCTGTTGTTTTCATCTTTTAATTGTTAGCATAATTTTGCTGTCCTTTATATCGGCCAATGTCTTTTTTAAATTATTTTTCAATTTTATTTTAATTGTTTTTGTTGTTTTTTTCTTCTTTTTTTGTAAATTATAGGCATAATTTAAAAGTCCCTTTAATACTTATTTCACTTGTTTCACTATTTTATTTTAATTTTATTATATTATTTTTTTTTTTTTGTTCTTTAATGTTTATTTTATTCATATATTTAGTAAAGACTCGAGGATATATATGAACGCAGATACATTAGCAACATGAATGAGTTTTGTGTAGCGTTCTTGATATTCTGTCTTAAAGTGGATATTTCATACAGCCAGAGGTGGTGTGAGTATAAAAACACATTATTGAACCGTATACTTTAAAACGCATTATTGAACCGTATACTTTAAAACACATTAAATTGAACCGTTTACTTTAAAACACATTGTTGAACCGTATTCTTTAAAACACATTGTTGAACCGTATACTTTAAAACACATTATTGAACCGTATACTTTAAAACACATTATTGAACCGTTTACTTTATTTAAGTCATTCTAGTGTTTGAAAAAGTCATCCTAGGCTTCGCCGATTTTATTCTGTTCTTATATTTAAGTGAATGCATCATCAATAATAACACGTCTGCTGTACGAATTACCCGAAATTTTGCACAAAAGTAATTGGCCTTGACCTGTATCAAATAGTACTTACGTCTTGAAAAAAAGTTCAATCCCGTCGTGTGAAAAAAAACACCTCAGTGGGGTCACTTTAAGTTTCTCTCATTCTAATCTCGACTAGGAATGCTGTCATGCTATCTTGAAAACGGCTAAATCGCGACAATCGTTTTATTGCGACAAGTCTAATCGTGGATAGGAATAATGCAATGCTACCTTGAATACAGCTAATTGCGACAAGGACAATTGCAACACATTTAATACCGTTTAGATTATTATAGATACGTTTTTATAGCGATTGCATTTGATAAATTACATATAAGATGTTTCTATATCCCTTCCTACATCCCGCACCCCCTGCCCACCGTCCCCATCCCCAAAGGCAAAGTTCCTATCTTGTTACCTTGTTTTCTTTGTATTCAGAATGACATCGGTATATCAGGCCAAGCGAAACTGTATGCTAGTAGATGATTTACGTTTTCTTATTACATACGATATCAAGTCATTTTAAATTCATTTTTGTTTTGAGTTTTATATATAGTTAAAGGCCCATTATGCCTTTAAACGAATAAATTTGTCCTTCGTTAGAAAAGGCAAACATGAGTTTTGCAGCAATAAAACAAACGTATTAGAGCATGTTACATGCTTATCACCTCAAGAAAATAAAAATAAAGCCGGATATGAAATTATTTGTTATTAAGGTAGCAATGGGTAAATAATGTAGTATGTTGACTTCCATACAAAATACTCAATTGCTATAAGTGTACTGATTGCCGAAAAGCAACAGGAGCAAAAGAGAGTTCAGATATTTGGCTAATGAGTAGTAATTAAAAAAAATTACGATAGGTCATCAAAAAATAAAAAAGCTTTCGAAAACTAAAACTAAAAGCTTTGCTGAAGCATAATGGGCCTTTAATATATTAAACATACAATAGACAGAATGAAATGTTCCAAAACAAAATATCACACTGCTAACTAAAGTAAAGTTTGAACCTTTAAGCAATATTTCCTTGCATGCACAATTCGCTATTAAGGAAAATATTCAATCCTATTTCTTTTTAAAGGCATATTTAATATTTGTTAAAATGATAAATCCAAATTTTTTTTAATTCTTTAGAATTGTCAAACCAGTGTTTAAAATGTTTTAATAATAGTTTTACAGTCATGTTTGTTTAAATGTTTAATAACTGAAGAAATAGCACTGAATATGTAGCAATGTGTCATAAAGGTAGTAAAATGTAAACAGAGTAGTATTTTGACTTCCATACAAAATACTATTTCATTATGATTAAACCAATTATATCGCAACAAAAGCAAATGATATTTCAGCTTTATAACAAATAAGTAATGTTTTGGAAAATGTAGCAAGATACCAAAAATAAAATGTTTTTGAGACATAAAAATGATATCATATCTAAGGCATAATGGGCCTTTAATATTGAAATATTCTTTTTTTGTCTTTATCAAACTTCAAACAATAACTTTGTTAAAGCTACATGCAGCAGATATGTAACTGTAATCACATATTATATGCGACGGCTATGGTGAAATTTTATGTAAACGTCATCTTATTGCCTTGGATTAATTCTAAAGATTTTGATTAAATAGAGGATATTTGTTTAGTTCAGTGTAAGATCGGAATTTATCCTGTCACTTCCGATAACAAGGTGCCGTATATTTTTACTGATCTACGGCACTTGATCACGTGGTATGCATGGTTTGCCGGACTACTTTTCAAGAAAAAATATAATCATTATTATAATGTTGGAGTTCCAGTGGTATGAAAAAAAACTGTCGTTAAATCTTCTGTGTGTAGAATAACGAATTTTGGAAACGTTGATAAAACTTTGTTTGTTTATTTTATTTCACTCTATAATTTTTCAAGCGAAATAAAAAATTAATAAAAGTGAATAAATGTAAAACTTAACTCGTTTGCGACATTAATGCCCCGGTCACATATTCACGGATTATGCCACGGAAGAGCTACGGTCTAATCGTTCACGGATTACTACGGAAATGTGAAATTCCGTAGTCCGCTACGGTTCCAGTACGGACACACAACGGTATGAGTACGAAGTCCGACGGATTTACCACCAAAGTCCCCCGGAGAGACACGGATTGCTACGGATCGACAAGGTTTAATACGGAGCGACACGACTCAGGACGAAGGTACTACGGATACACTACGGTCTGCTACGGTATAAGCACGGGTTAGTACGAATAATTACGGTCTGATACGGAAAAGAATGTATTGATACGGAGAAGAACGAATTGCCACGGATCTATACGGACTTAATACATCCTTCCACAACCTCTTGATTGCTCATTTTCAAAATGCCTCAAAAAAAAGAACACCTAGAAAACGAATTGCAGCGTTCAATGATTTTGGCGCTGAGGATTCAGCCTAATCGCGTCCGAACCCCGAGACACATCAGGTCCAATTAAAGTGAATTTCTTGAAGGACGCTGGATCGACCATGAGAGCCTCATACTAAACATGAAGGGGTCTTCGTAAAGGCCCATCTCTAGTCCACCATCTTCTAATACCTGATTAGATATGGACTAGTAATCATTAATGAAAAATGTTGATCAATACTGCTTCTCTTTTAATTTTAAGATTTGCTGTTTATCTTAAAATTACATTAATTATCGTGATGTTTATGTAAAAAGCTTGTTAATTAATCTTATTATCACTCAAGGGCCAGTGTCCGAGGCTTATGAGACACTTCGTTTTATGTACATATTTACGATCCAATGTTTGTAAAATATGTAACATTAAATGTTATTCTATTTCTTATGAATTTTAGTACGATATTAATATAAATTTACTTCTATGCATGTCATCAAGCAACTCGACCACTGCCTCCGCATTCTGAGCCATTTCAATATAAAGTTGCAGCCAGTAAATGGCAATTATCATTTATTAAATGTTTGTGCAAATACATATGTCTGTTTTTAACAAGAAGGTAGTATTTATACACTTGAAAAAGTACATGATACTTAATTCATCCGTACTAAACAGTGGTGGGCCGTACCATTCAGTACCGTTTCGCGTTGCAACGCAATAAACCGTATAAGACCGTGCCCATCCTTGCCTCTCCGTAGTACAACGTATTACGATCGTGGCTTTCCGTGGCAATGCCGTATTAATCCGTATTAAACCGTAGCTTATACGTAGGGTAACTGTACAAATACGTAGTTCTCCGTACCAAACCGTGGAAATCCTTCACAAGTTGGTGGACTACGGATCAGTACGGACTATTACGGTTTTCGTACTGACCAGTACGAATCATTACGGATTAATACGGACTAGTAAGGATACGCTACGGTTAATTTTTCCGTAGCAAATTTTTGTGCGTGCTCAAAAATTGTCAATGATCGCTACGGATATACAAGGACTACTACGATTGATTACGGTTTCAATACGGAGAGCTACTGACCAGTACGGGTAGCTACGGACGATGCCGGAATTAATCCGTGGCTCTTCCGTGGGCGTATTCCGTAAATATGTGACCGGGGTATAAAATAGCGTATTTGATTTGATTGTTTTTGCACGTGCTGTTTGGTGCTACATTGTGACGTCACGTAAACAATAGTTTAAACGTCTGTAGAATAAAAGATATTGGTGTTCGAATTCATTTTCTTACTTAGATCATTTTCTTTCATTCTAGATAGTTTTCACAACAAAATTCGACAAAAAAACTGTTTTTATTTATCACATTTTTCAAACAAAATGGCGCCCTCAATGTGAAAATACACAGGGGGATAATAAGAACGGCGAGTGCATTGTTGTCGGGTCTTCTTTGTTTATATATAGAAAGTGTGATTAAAGGTAGTTTGCCTAATAAAATTCTTTAAAAAAACGGTGAAAGGATAAATAGAATTATAAATTGGTGCCGTGGATGGAAAAAGTTTATCTGGCTCTTTTCCGGAATTTATTTGGCTCGCCTTCGGCTCACCCAATTAAGTCCTCCGCCTCGCCAGATAAACTTTCTCCATCCACGACACCAACCTATTATTCTCAATATATTTCACCGAGTGAGCACCAAAAGGTATATTTCCACGAGTGAATTATGAACTTTTGGTGTTCACAAGGTGAAAATATTTCGATCTTACACTAAACTAATCAAATTTTCTTTTTATTATATGCAAAGAAACGTTTTAAAAAGACATCAAACCTTATACTGAATGAAAAGCTCGCCAAATAATAATACAACGTGACGTCATTTACGACGTCATGTCATAAAATTGGTTCCCAGTACTGTGCACGCTGGTATTTCACTGAAACTATTACCATTTTTATTTCACTGATATATTTCTTTGGTACATGCTTTTCGGTGGTTTATAGAAATATATCAGTGATATAAAACTGGTAATTTCACTGTTTGAAACAGTGAAATTACCACTTTGATAATTTCACTGTTTTGAATTTCAGCCCCTTACGTTGTTTCAGTGAAATACCAGCGTGCACAGTATTGGGTACCAACTTAATGACGTGACGTCGTAAATGATGTCACGTTGTATCATTATTTGGCGAGCTTTTCATTCAGTATTCGTTTAAATGTCTTTTTAAAACGTTTCTTTGCATAAAATAAAAAGAAAATTTGTTTAGTTTAGTGTAAGATTGAAATATATTTCACCTTGTGAACACCAAAAGTTCATATTTCACCCGTGGCTGCGCCACTCGTAAAATATACCTTTTGGTGCTCACTCGGTGAAATATATTCCGATCTTACATTGAACTAAACAAATATCCTCTATATAAACGTAATAAAATAGAATACACTATTTTTAAACGGTGTCCACTTTCAAGGGATATCCATCAAAAAATTGTCAGATAATTCATTAGCCGCCAATCAAAAATGATTAAAACATGGAATATAAATTTTAAATTCCTTAATAAATTAGCATTTTAAATATGTTTATTAATTGTTCGTTATACTGTATTTTCTGGCCAAGCTCAGAATAAACATAATCGTGAGTTTGGAGGACATCGCGCTATTTTGCTATTTTGCTTACCTATCACTTTCTAAGTGAACATTTAGTCTAATTGTAAAACCTGAAGAAAATAAACGAGTAAATTAACCTAAACGGACAATAAATCTAAACAAAGAAGACAAGAATGTCGCTTATACGTTTCTAGATACTTCGCAAACTAATATTTATCTCATGGTGACAAAATGTCCATCAAAATGTTCATGCCAATCAAATAAAACAACGCAGTATTTCCGACAGGCAATTTGTTGCCTTTGTCTTACCAAGTTTTTTTTTGTGATTGCTACACTTCATTGAAACAAAATGTCCCAAATAAATACATACTTTCAACAACTTTAACGTCGAACTTTTTTTTAAGAAAGGGATTGTGGAATGCTTTGTTGTGTGGCTTCAGAAAAATTGAAAATTGCCCATATCATACCTTACTTACTTTATACGGGGAAGTCAAAGACCGGGCCCGCGAAGCGGGTCCGGGCTTTGGATTGCTCGGCTATAGACTACACGTGTATATTTAAAAGAAAATCAAATAAAAAAACAATTCAAAAATATATAGAATTCTATACCTATCAATGAAATTTTCAGTGTCAGTTCTAGTCGGGCGCCGCCATTTACAATGCTACTCAATGATAATAGGCGTGGTATTCCGATAAGGGAACAAATCTCAACTTTTCGGATTAATAATAATCGCCGAGTGTTCCGAGTGAAAACGGAAGCGACATTCGGAACTGCCTCGGCTATTATCTATAATATTAACCTCGGAAACAATACGGATTGAAAGTAGTTTTACCACGTGGTTTCAGATGTAAACAGAAACAGAGATAATGTAAAACGAATGTATATATTTGACATCTAATGCCTGTTCCGGTACTCTTTTGCTTCAAAATATGTCTGACAACAATTTGTAATTTAAATATGCCCACTGATGTTCAATTTTAAAACAAATCCGACGAAATGTCAACAGGTTGGTTTTTTTGTACTTTCGGTTTCTACAACCATAATGATAAATATATAAATAATGAATTGTTTGCTTTTGTACCTATGATATCACTTATTTTAGGTGAACTTTTACTACATATATTGGAAATAAACTTGTAAACAACTCCGAGCATTAAATTACTATTTGTTTACATGTTTAGTTTCTTAGCGTAGGTTAGACCGAAATACCGCATCCGTTCTGTGTATTCATACTATTGTGTTCGAGGTCCTTATCCGAAGACTGACGGAAAGGGCCGAGTAGTTGCGATTGCGTAAGCGATGCATGAAATACCGAATGACACCTTTAAAACGGAAAGAATGAAAATAAATTTTTAACGACTTCCCCGCTCATAGGCTTTGCCTAATTTCATATTAAAGTAAAGATAAATAGATGAAATAAAAGACTTTATATTTTGAGACTTACATATGCACCACATAGGCAAAAGTATGATGATTACAAACCCTAATTAGCATGTTTGCGAGGCGCCATATTGGTATTTTCTTTAAATAAATGGGAAATCACAGGGGAAAATACCCCTTTCTTCACGTTGACAGAAAAATTCCTAAAAAATGATATACGGGGAAAAAAAGCGAGAAAAGGCGACAGCAGCTTTGAAGGAGTTACGATAATATCCTATTTAAGTCGCTATTTACCGTTTTATTATATCTGTCATTGAATATAATTTGTTATTGTTGACTGCATGTTTGAATTATATAATCATCAATTTATTAATAACAGAAAATTTCAACGTTTTGAAATGTATTTTGTAGGAGTGAGCATGATCGAAACATGCAGCCATTTTTTGTTTATTTTTCATACTTTCCGATATAAACAGGGTATGTTCCGGTTCCTTCGTACGCTATCAAACCACAGGCCAACACGGGTTATCAAGTCGCCGGATGGAGTTCGAGCCACACAACTGAGCCTCCCCTAGGGCCAAACGATAGAATGAACACGACGGATGTTCCAGAGGAGATAGAAGCCCGTCCTGATAAAAGTATCTTGGTTATGCAGTTAACTAGCAGTTAACCAGCAGTTAACCGGAAGTTAACCAGCATGAAATGTATCCATATTATCATCGCGTATTAGACGTTTCTAACACAATGTGAACTAATAGTACTAAACATTTAACATTACGTCATCCTCAGAAACATTTAGAAATTGTCAAATATGTTTAAAATGATATACTAGTACATACAATTAGATCTGAAATTGGGATCAATATAACCAGATTTGTTTTTTTACACATATCACTGTTCAAGAAAACCCAGACAAAATTTTTACCGTCACGCTAAGGTTATACATGTACATGTATAAAGAACGTCACACGATGCCAAATTTTTAAACAGAATAAAAACTGAAGGCTGTTGGGTTGGATTTTTTTCACCCATATTTTTGGGGTTATAATATTCCTCTACGAAACGTCTAACACCTATTTAAGGTGCATGTCCTCAGTAGGCCTTATTGTACGAGCATCTTGTATGTTGTATATGACTTGTCAGAGAGCATCTGTGTATTCTAAAACCATTTATTAAAGTTGCTATAGTAACATATTCCAGATTGCTTGTCAAATGTTAGTGTAGCGTACAAGAGCAATATATTTCTGGTTAAAATATATATAGTTTATCGACTGCTACATGCTCGTTTGTTTGCTCGTTTGTTTGTTTGTTTGTTTGTATATTTGTTTGTTCGTTCGTTCGTTTTTGTAGTAACTGTTATTGTTTTTCTTTTGTTTGTTTGTGACTTAAACCACTATAAATTGTCATGCAACTTTGGGTTTTTCTAAGTTTGAAAACTTCTTTAATGTTTATGTATTTCTCTAGTTCACGTATTTCTCAATGCTTTTTGTAGATTTAAAAGTGAATGACCAGTAGTTTCTTGAAACAAGCGCATCGTGCTAGATGTTGTTACAGGTAAATGTAGATCTTATGCCTGGTTTTTTGTTAAACATTAGCCAATGTATTTGTTTGGATCGGTTTGGTAAGAAGTTCTTCCCTCAGCTCGTGCAGCAATGTTCCGATTGGCATGTCGCAATGCAAGTCTAGTGGTCTTGTTATAGTTGGAAATTAGAGTTTGAGCATATAATCATCAACTTAGTGCAGTAACCGGTTAAGTCCTTCTAAATTTAATAGGAGTTAAACCTTAGTAGCACTAAGGTGACGAATAATTTAAATTTTATGGATTGTATTTTGGTGTACCTTTGAATTGGTATATTTGAAACGTTTAAAAAATTATCAGGTTAGTTTAATATGATAGCCTGAATCAACAAATTCAATTAATCAATTCAAACTATTTTTAATTTTATTTACAGTCTGTTTTATATTCACCTGAGAAAATTGTTTGAGATTTTTTAAATAAGGTTTCTTTTTCTTTTTTTATACAATATTTCTGTAAAACTTTGAAATTTCAACACTTGTTAAAATTACAAAGTATCTATTATAATTATGATGCGTTATCTACATGTATCTAAAATTTCACAGCGCGTGCTCAACGAAGGGAATTGTTAAAACGAATGAATCCCGGATTTACCAGCCAACAAATTGAAGCACAACTTATCCGAGATGATAAGGCACGTGCAAAAAATGGCGGCAACTCAGAGCGAAACCCGTCATTATACTACAGGACCACCCAAGCGTCGCTATGAAACAGACTTCCGTTGAAAAACCAAAACAACACGTGGTACAAATACAGACAAACGCCGTCTCGAAACAGATTTCTGTTGAAGAACCAAACCAAATCTTTGTACAAAAATCCAAACCAAAGTTAATACTACCGAAGCAGCAAAAGAGAAATTTCAACTTGTGGAGTCCACTGTCAGCAAGCGAATTGAAATCTTTTGGACAGATTTTTATATCCCAACCTAATCCACCTAGTTCTAGGACAAGTGCAGGTCCATCTGGACAACCAATCATCAGTGCAACAGGTAGACACGTGATCATAAATAACACTTTTTATCCTTTTTTTAGATAAAATGAAAAACAAAATGTATATCAAGTGCAATGTTTTACAAAGGTAGTTGACTACATATATTTATATACAAGTTAAGATCACCTATGGAATACTAGTCATTCTTTTCTTGAACTCAACTTTAAAGATACAAAAGAAAGATAAAACTTGTAGGTAAAATTTGTGTTGATGATAGTTTTAACAAAAATGGGTGCATCGAATTTCTAGACATAATGGTGATATTGACTGTTAAATCTGAAATCCTTGGTCAAAGGCATACTTAAGATTTTATACCAGCATACTTTTTCCAAGAATTACTTCCTTTGTTCATTCATCAAAAGCATTCCCAATGTCAAATAGTGTCTGGAACTTGGTCAAAGTCAAACTGTTTTCAGCATATCCGTCCCAGAATTGTCTCCTCGGTTTATCAAATAGTATCTGGATTAAATTGTTTGAAACCAGCCAGTCTTCTAGAATATGGTTGCTTGACATATTTACTTACGTGGAACAACTGTTAGACGTATAAATATCTTACTTTCTGTTAATGATTACAATATTTGATCTCACTCTAGGTGTTTGAAAGTTTTCGTGTGAGTGTTTTAATCACTTTTAAAACTTTTGTATGATTTCTTGTTTTAGTAATGCTATTTTCGTGTTGCAGAAAAGCTTTGTAGAAACTTTTTCATTCTGTTCTTTTCTTAATAAGTTATGCTTGTGTTCTGTTTGCTTTTAAAAGTGCAAGTTTAAATTTTTCTGTGGGAGTCTCTTTTATAGTTTCTTTCGTTTGTAAAGTAAATTTTAGAGGTCAGAAAAGGGCCTGGGGTTTGGTTTTTTTAAAAGCTTTAGCCAAATCATAACAAAATCGTCTTTAGTGATCGTAGTATTGATGCTTTTCTAGTAAAATTTAGTACATCATCAAGTGATTTTTGTGTTCATCTGTCATATATATATAACCCAGAAGCTTTTGTTTCACGCTGTTTTTTGTTTTTATATTCATAACAAACTTAAAATAACATTTACATACATGTAACAGTTTAAAACTCTTAATAAAACGTGCTTGGTATATAAAGTGAAACAGTATGATTATATAACAACTTTGTTCAAATGTATTCAATATTTGAAATAACCAGCCATTAACATTAAAACATATAAACTACGATTTTACAAAATAATAAACCATATAATCAAAATATATAACATATATGATTCTTAACCATATAATTTAAATATATAACCTTTTGATAATTATTCTAATAACCCATATAATTTAATAATGTAATATATTGATAATTATTCTTAACCATATAATTGAAATATATAACATATTGATAATTATTCTAAACCATATAATTTAAATAATTTTACTGATAATTATTCATGTAATTTAAGCTTAACTGTATGCAAGATGTGATCATTTGTAATATTAAATGATTGTAAAATGAAATGATTGTTAAGCCTATTTGTAATTTTACTATCATAATATAAACAATTCAGAAGACTTTCACAAGTAAATGACAGAATAACAAAATGATAATAACTCTTTTTTTACGAAAATACAAAATGTTTAACAATGATCATGAGCTTTTTAACACCTAAATTCACAGCACGTGCTCAGCGGAGACAATTGTTAAAAAGGATGAATCCTGGATTTACAAATGCACAAATAGAAGCACAACTTATCCGAGATGATAAAGCACGTGCAAAAATGGCGGCAACACAGAGCGAACCAGTGTGATTCTGCCTGAACCCTGTCACGGCACCCACAAAGACCTCCCCCTGTCAACGGCCCTAAACCGAAGCCAAAAGCCAAGCGAAAGCCCAACCTAAACCAAAACAAAAACAAGCAAAACAAGCGAACAATAACAATGTTTGGCAACCAACGTCAGCCGGGAAATTTGGCTCAATCGTAAAAAAGGCCAGTACAACGCCAACCAGGTTCAAAACAAAATCAACAGCGGGCCAATCCAGCACGAAATGCTCGTAGACGCCGTCCGAAAACTACAACAACAACAGGTAGAATAATGGGTGATGAATGACAATGTTATGTTATATTATTATTTCCCTTGTTATTATTTGCATTTTTATTCCCATTATCATTTACATTGTTCATATTGACATTTTTATTCACAGTCTTAGCAAATTTAATACATTACTCCGGAGTATAAATGTATGTTTCTTCATATTCAAGGAGACTTGTCTTTTCCATGATTGAATTTTTATAATATTAAACTTTATTACCTTACTTAATTACGTAATTTTCATGGATATTTTTTTTTAACAGATTTAACACAGCCCATATTTTATGAATACCATGGTATTTCTTACATTACATTTGTCGTGAAAGGTTATGATTTCAATTCGGTAGAAATACTTTCTGTTCATATTATAGTGCGGCCTTCTATATGAAATAGTACTCCCATCAGAGACCCTCCCAGTGAGCTCTAATCAAAGAAGGGACAAAATGTTTGTGGGCTGACTGGTCGGGTCCCTTAAATGTTGGAACGTCCTCACTTGTATGTACTGTTTTAAGAAACGCGTTAAAGATATTTTACGATATATTACGTCTTTCTTGTTTTAGTAAGTAAAACAAAATCTATATCGTACTGCACTTGATTAGAGCAAATCATGTTTCGTCACACCGGCTAAAATATATTACATGATGTATCAATTCACAGAAAAACATATGCATGTATCATTGTGAAATAATTCAACCAAATTCATTTTGATTCTTTAGAGATGGGCTGTTGTGAATTGGGGGCAACATGGACAATAAAGGATGTTCAGCAGTAGTTTTACCGTATCAATGGCAATGAAGACATTATTAATTGAACAGCGTGGTGTTTTTAACCTTTGAAATTTTCTTTGTTACAGTTTCCTTCGTCGCGTTGGGAGAGTAAACATGATTGTCTTGTCTACGTTTAGGGCAGCAATTCGCACAGTCATCATAATTTTGAAGACATTATGTCATATTCTGTTTAGTAATTTGTTTTGTATATATAATCTGATTATATTCATATTTTTCTTCTTTTTATATCTATATATAGAACCTCTTCCGACAACGTACCCGCCCACCTACCCGCCCACTACAGATTATATACCAACGACATACCCTACACCCGCCTACCATTATAATGATCCAATAGTAAGTAATCACCCTAGGAGAGGTGGACCTCCTCCTAGACGGCAACCACCAATGAGAAGACAGCAAGCACCCAGAAGAAATACTAGACCGAGACCACGCCCACGACCACGACCACTGGGTTAGTAATTGTAAATCATTCAATATTTATTAAATGATAAATTAAGCTAAAAATTTCTCTTTTTTTTATTTTGAATAATTGGTTAATTTCAGTTAAACTTTCTTCTACATCTCCACATTGTTACAATTAAAATAAGCACGACTTGAGTAGATATAATTAAGATATCATGTTAGTATATTGCCAAATCAAAATGGCCATTCTTCTACAATTAGCAGTACAATTCTACAAAATAGTTATCACTATTGGTTTTAAAATTCTCTCGAATCTTTATGAGACTTTCTTTTCATTTCATTAATCTTACCAGATGCTTTAAATCGCAACAAACAGATATCAATGCTAAAAATAAGTCATTCTATGTATAATCATTCTTAAAATTTCATTAAAAAAAACAACTATTTCTACTTTTTTATCAATACATTTCGTATTAAAGTTTTCAAATATATATATATATTAATCAGTCGGCTCAGAGATCGGTCATATTTTATCCATTGTCGGATAAAATGATTCCTCACGGTGAGTATAGAGTTTCCCAAACCAATTTTTCAAATTCGAAACATTTGAAATGAAACAAAGATTTTACAAAACTTTGATCGGTTACAAAAATATTTTATTATTTTATACTTTACGGAGAAAAACGTAGAGGCGCCCATGTCATTTAATGTTTCGAGTTTGTAAGAGCTTTTTTGTACTCGTATATGTTAATATTTGTATTGTTTATGTACTCTAACATTAATTCAAACATGTTCAGCTAAAAGTAAATATGCTTAGCTAACGTTTACATAAGTATAAACATGGTCAGCTAACAAGAACATAGATATAAATATGTTCCGCGAAATTCTAACATAAATTTTAACATGTGCAGCTAACGTGAACATAGATATAAATATGTTCCGCGAAATGCTAACATAAATTTTAACATGTGCTGCTAACGTGAACATAGATATAAATATGTTCCGCGAAATTCTAACATAATTGTTAACATATGCAGCTAGCGTGAACATAGATATAAATATGTTTCGCGAAGTTCTAACATAAATGTTAACATATGCAGCTAACGTGAACATAGATATAAATATGTTCCGCGAAATTCTAACATATATGTTAACATGTGAAGCTAACTTGAACATAGATATAAATATGTTCAGCTAACATTCGCTCATATATACTTTTGGTGCTATATGCGTTAAGCTAACGTTAAATAAATATCAACTTGTACAGATAATGTTTAATATGATATTAACTCGTAAACAAAAGTTAACTTACATCTTATAATTTACTCTATATTATTCATATGTGGGAAGTAACATTGATATAATTGTACAATTTATATATCGGAAGTAACATTTATATAAATGTGCGACTATATCCACAGCTGAGCTATTAATAAGTGTATTCTACAAAAGATTGGTGGGGTCATTTCAAATTTATGAAATCTCGATTTCATCGTCGTGAATTCACAATTTGAAACTTCGTGAATTCACGTTTTCAGCGTACAAAATTCACGATTTCAACTTTATGAATTCACGATTTCAGCTTAACGATTTCAACGTAAAGTTCAAATCGTGAATTCGTGAAGTTGAACTCGCAAATTTCATGAAATTGAAATCTTGAATTCATAAAGTTGAAATCGTGAATTCGTGAAGTTAAAATTGTGAATTCGTGAAAATGAACAGGAGAATTCAAGAAGTTGAAATGTCACCACTGCTCTTTAGTAGTAAACAAAGCGTAACGTAAGAAAAACATTGTAATCGTCCCGGGGCTATCTTGATTGGGGTACTCCAAAGTAAATACGATTTTTTTTTAAAACAGTCATGTTTTCTTTTCATTTCATTTGATTCATTGGCCCTTTGTGCCAAAAAGAGCTCGATTCTTTGTCGCAATAACTGTAAAAAATGAGTCGTTTTATAAAATATTTATTGTATTGAATTACTTGTAATATTAGAATTTCACTCCTTAAAAAACAATTTATATTCAGTTGATATTATAATAAACCTTATACTACAAGTACAAATGTTGCCTTTTAATATACCAGATCAGTTCTCAGAATAATAAACAATGTAATTTTTGTAACAGTGTGTTTGCGCTGATACTAGATCTAGAGGTTATGGCGGCCTTCGGCTTTATTTTTTTTTTTTTTTTATTATTATTTTTTTTTTTTTTTTGCTTTTTTTGTTGTTGTTGATGTTGGAAAAAATAATATGTGCTTTTTCAAACTAGGTATTTTAGAAATAATACCTAGGAAAAGTGTATCATATCACTGTTAAGCATTCTTCAAAACAGCGCCCAGAGAGCTATTTATAGCGCGCAGTGACTTTCGTTTCAAAAAATAGAAGATTGAGAAACGAAACGTCCGCTTTACTAATTTACATATCGAGAGAGCGGACCGGTATATTATCGAAGGGTTTCATTATTGTTTACGACAAATTTCAGTTTACACCTTAATTATTTTGATTTGACAATTTATCTTAGTATAAAATATTTAACCTTTAGAAAACCTGAAGGCCGCTTTAAGTAAGTTAAATTAAAGGGGACTTGTAGGACGTTTAAATAAAATGAAAAATGAACAGACTTTAATATCATCACTTCTTTGTTTTATAGGGCGACGACAGCGGAATCGTGCAAGAGCCGACGGTGAGGAATTTCGACCACGTGACCCGTTATCTAAATGGATCTTCAACAATATAGATGGCGAAGTCTTGGATGCTTTCCTTCCATTGTTTGCCTTCGGTTAAAAATATAATTATGTACATGATAGCACACAATATCGATACAATCACGTCTATGACGTCACAGCACGTGATGTCCTCGTTCTATGACGTCACAGTATGTGATGTAATCCTTCATTTTAGACAGGCGTCATATGCGCTTTAATATTTCTTTTTCTAAATTGTATAATTTATGTCAATTGTTTGCGATTCTCGTAGTTTTCATCTAATTTTTTTTCAGTAATGAACATAAATATAACATGGCTGTTACATACTTGAAGATTTCATTCGGAAATGTTTTGCCAGCTATGTTGGCCTCAGAATAGATCTACATTTAGATCTACCTCGTGATTAATTTAAAAAATGAACACGTAGATCTAATATATAATATTTCAAGTTTACCTTTTTAAGATAAATAATAACATTTGCATTATTAAATTCGTTGTATTGTATGTTTGAACAAATAAAAATTTTGTGTACTGTATTAACAATGATGATTTGATTTAATTTTTAATGCCATTTTGATCGAATTTAAAAATCGATTTTGATCGATTTTTGAAAAGATTTTGATCTCATTTCTTTTTTAAAAATCGATTTTTGATCATTTTCTAAAACGATTTGTCCATAATAAAAAAAGCAATTTTGATGGAAATTTAAAACGATAAGTGCAATTATATTGTAGTCAATACACTACTGTGTTAAAACAATACCGTAATTGTAAAATTTGTAAATTTCTGAAATTTATTTCATTATTGAAAAACCTGTGTAACCTTTAAATAAATTATTTTGAAGTATTGAGCATTGGTCCAGTACTGCAATATATACATCAATAGTTAATTGTAAGATGTTCATACACAAAAATCATGTAATCAATTTTGGTAAAATATATGCCTATAATGGTTATTTTAAGATAAGTTTTTTATGTAAATAAATTTGCAATTTATTATTGAATATACCCTTACATTTATCTTATTTATATGTATATGCATCCGACATATTTTTTCAATGGTAAATTCTTTGAAAAAAATGTTGTTGTCCGTATAAATACAGAAATTAGTAAAACTAGACAGTTTAAAGTGGAATGGTCTACAATGAGCGTATTTTCCTGAAGTATTTCAAATAGGTTTACATTTTTTCATTTATAAAAACTACAGAAATGTTTCAGTGATATTCTTATAAAGTATTTCTTGACAAAAATATTGATTAATTTTTTAGTGATTGAGTATGAACATTTATTTATATGATTTATTGTAAATTTTGTTATAGAACAATTTATTGGCTGCTATATTTAGAAATGTCATATCAGACCATATATCATACTTACCAACAACATCCATGTATAATAGACCTTTTCCCAATAAGCCTAACTGGCTTTCAGGTAAAAGTCACGTGGCTCCAAAATATTTAATTAAGTTTTTTAATTATAATTTGTATCACTTTTGTTTTAAGCAATATTTTCAAGGTTTTGTCGTGTGTTTTGTTTTTGTTGTTGTTTTTTTTTTCGTTTCTTTTCTTCTTTTTTTAATGATAATGTGCTATATTTATATTTTGTACTTTGATTTATGTTAAATCATTTGGCAACCTCCGAAAGAACGGCCACCCGCTGTAGTCGCCCGTGTAAAAAGGTGTGACGTCACAAGAATGTGACGTCAAACAGAATTACAATAAATGTGCACTGTCACGATAAAATAGCACCAACATTATTCAGAATAAGGTTACTGTTGTAACTATGCATATTTATATCTTAGATTCAACGTCTTGAAGCGTTTTGGGCTGGGTTTTTTTTCTCATTTAAACAAGCTAAAGCTTAAGGCGATTGGTTAGCAAGAATTTTACGGCATTACAGTTGTGTTCTAAGTGAAATATATCTTCGAAGCTCTTTAAATTCGCAAGTCTTTTTTTTCTAGATATTTTACACTTGGCATCCTTAGAAAGCTGCATGAATATTATGTTTTTATAAGACAAAAAATGCAAATTAGGGACCAAAGACCTATATTTAAGCATGTAAGCGAGCATCCATATTGGAGATATTCCCTCTCAAATAATGACGTCATACGGGAAAACACCCTCGAGCACGTGATAAAAATGTACTAAAAATAGGTATCCAATTTGTTTAGAACACAGCTGTTGGTGTCAAATTCAGCGATTATTGTACTCTACATAAATATAATCAAGTATATATTCTATAAAACATAAAATAGTCATTTCAGAGCTTTTCTGACAATCAAATTTCTTTCATTACGAAGTAGAAACTACTAGTTACAGATAATTTTTACGTAAAAAAGACGATTGTTTAGGTACAGATTTATTTACCAAAATTGATAAAAAAGAGCTGAAAACAATGTTTCAATACATTTATAAGCAATATTATAATCTATATAAAATGGTATAATCTTATTTCTAAAGTATATGGCATAGTTTGAGACAACATTAAACGTTCTTTAGTTTGGCAATAGTGATACAACTTTGTTAGCGCTCTTTCTCTTGGTTTGATAATACATCACATTACCAAGGCAACATACCCTATAACCAAAGTTCCACCTTTTTCAGCGGGATGCCAAAAATGACCAATTCACTTTAAATCATTTGTAGAACAATTCAGTAAATAACAAATAAAAAACTATCACTTTTATACCTTTATTAAGAAAGAAAAAGCTCGTTGTCACGTAGCGGCATGCACCATGGACATGAATTTGGCGTTTTGCTCCTTTTTTCGCAAGAGACGTGAATTTGACTTCTTTGTCGTCTGCGCGCGGTAGCTTTATTCTTTCTCAAATGTTGCCTTTTAAATATATTGTAAATATAGACTGAGAGTTATCATTCTGTTTAAACGTATTGCCGTGACATTGATATTATTGCAGAATGTCAGCATCTCTTTTTGTCAGTTTAACAGCAATGTTGGGGCGTCCACGACCGAGTGGTTCGGGTCATTGACTTCAAAACCACTTGCCCCTCACCGCTGTGGGTTCGAATTCCGACAAGGACTTTGGATTCTTTCATGTGATAAAGATATCCAGCTAGTTTACGGAAGGTCGGTGGTTTTCACTAAGTCTGAAATAATGCACGGAAGGGCACATGAGGTCTTCCTCCACCAGTAAATCTGCAACGTCGCCTACGTAAAATCCAACCAACCAAACAAACAAAAACAGCAATGTTAGGTGATGCAATATAAAAAGTAACTGATTTTTTGTGTATATAATTTGAAACTGTTTAGTAGCCATACATGACATCATTACAGTTGAAATTTTGTTTTACATTAATTTTAAATTCATTGTTTAAACAACAATTCTGTTTGGACAAATTTGTTTTGACATTGATTTAATTAATGTGTATAAAATTATATAATTGCTGACTGTAGTACACAAAATCATTGTTTGAAATGTGAAAAAAAATACCTAAAAGAAATAGAAATATGTTTGTATATTTCTGTATAATTAAACGATAATAACTAAACTTATAGAAGCATGGCATTTTGTCCATTCTGTTTATTTTCAATATTTATGTGTGTTAAAAAGCAATGACATTCCATTTTATAACTCTGTCAAGAATATTCCACAAAAATATGGAAATTGTTATGGTTATAAATATTATGAAAAAAAAATGTTTCATAAGAAATAGCTCTGCAGTCTTTAATTCTATTTGTTTGGTCTTTTCCCCATTGTTTTAAATGCATTCTTCACATAAATTGATGATGGCCAGGAATGAAATTAAAATCATGTATTTAAGAACATCTTTTTTTACAACGTAACTATGTTTTAACTAAATAATGAACTTGAAATTTTGACAATAAAAATCATAAAAGTATCACGTGTAATTGTTTGTGTTCTTTATACAAAGCATCTTGAAAGAGTAATAAGTTACCACAGTAAAAACGTACTTGGAAAAACATGTAAACAGTGACATAGAGGTATGGTGGCTGATTTACGCCATGTCGTATTTTCGCTCTTTCGTCAAAACATGAAGTAACAAAAGGGAACTTTGTCGTGTCGTGTTTTTGCATTTTCTCAACATGGGGAAAAACGACAGAAGAAGAACGATGATACGACACATAAAATGCGTCGTGTTTTTACATATCTGTCGTGTCTTTAGTTTTTGCAGAGAAAATGCGGAAACACATTGACACAACAAAGTAAAAAACACTTAATAAATGTTCATCGTTTCTGCTTTGATATTATCTAGTCAAAGAAATACAAGTCACTAGAATTATTCCAGGCAAGAACAAAAAATTGTCTGCTAACGTGCCACCCGTCACATAGACAATTCAGAACAGATGATTGAAAGCCTCCAATATTGGCATTTTTTAAAAATACAGACATTTTTATACAGTGGTAATAGAAAAGTAACCAACAAGACATTTAGTGTTACAATATAATTAAAGGCCCATTATGCCTCAGAAATGCTATAATTTTTATTTCTTAAAAACGTTTTATTTTTATTATCTTGTTACAGTTTCCAAAAAAATATTTATCTTTGCCCTTTTTGCTTTGTTGGCCATTGGTACAATCATAGTGAATTTGTATTTTGTATGGAAGTCAAAATACTTCATTGTTTACATTTTGCTAACTTAACAACTTATCAGTGCTATTTCTACAGCTGTTAAAGATCTAACATACAAATTAATTATTATAACATTATTAAACACATGTTTGTTCAATATGGATCTCTAAGGCATAATGTGCCTTTAATAAACTTCCATATTTATTTTAGACGTCTTTGGCTACTTGTATTTTTATTGTAATTAAAATCTTGTCCAATCAGTTTAGCAAGTCTTGAATTGTGTGGATAATAAAAGTCTTGAATAAGTTTTCTGGTTTCCGGCTTCATGTCACCAATCGGTCGTGAATGTTCGGTGTTTCTAAATGACGTGATATGCTGCCATACTATAGGATCTTTTATTGGACCTACAACAAAATTAAAATACATTTCCTAAAAAAAATCTAGGAATCGCCGTACAGCCAGATATTCGGATATTTTTATTGTTTATCCTGTAGTAGCCTGGTTTCGAACTTGTAACCCGGCGAAAACATGGGTCATCTATAATGCTAAGAAAAATATCGTAACAAATGCTTTAGATATTTAATATTTTTTTCTGTTAAGTAATCGAATGAACGAACGAACGAACGAACGAATTAATTAATTAATTAATTAATTTATTTATTTATTTATTTATTTATTTATTTATTTATTTATTATTCATTTATTTTGATTTATTTATTTATTTATTTATTCATTCATTCATTCATTCATTCATTCATTCATTCATTTATTTATTTGTTTATTTATTTATCTATTTATTTATTTATTTATTTATTTATTTATAAAGCTTACCAACATCCAAAAAATCAAAGATTTTTTGTAAAATTTTAGCGGAATCTTTGTCAAGCATCTCCTTGCTGATGATCAGCATGTGATTCTTCGGAAAAACCTTCATAAAATTCGCTAGATGTGTATGATATAGTCCAATCTCTATCCGTGACTGGAAATAGAAAAAAAAACACAGAATCCTAAACAAACGCCCAAAACGTCAAAAATTGAAAAAGTTGCAGAATCGGTTTGATTGAGTTTGCCCCTATATAAATACCTAAAATGATTTTAAATAAAACCATGTCATTTGGTAATTAATAAAGATATGCCACTGTTTTTATGTATACTCATCTTTTACTTATAGAACTTGAGTAAATAAAGATATGTTCTGTTCTGTTCTGCTCAATTCAAATAAAAGCGTTTCATATAGTAATGTAATGCTGAATTGTTTGTTGATAAGATAGACAGATGTCACACAGACATCGGCATCATTACAGCCACACTGGAGAAGAAGAAGGAAGACCATCCCTGTATATAAGAAAAATCCAGGCACGATCAGGAACCTGAGTAGAACCACCGACCTTCTGTAGGTTAGGTAGGTGGCTTTCCCCACTTTAAGTATGCAGTGGATATGACGGGATTCGAACCAGCGGTGCTGAGGGGCAAATGATTTGAAGTAGGCTGCCCTGACCACTCGGTCACTGAGGCATCTCGAGTTTGTTTGTTTGTTTTTTTTTTGTTTGTTTGTTTGTTCGTTCGTTCGTTTGTTTGTTTGGGTTTTACGTCACCCGACACAGTATAGGTTAGTCTCTAAAGATATATGTTGATTGAAAGTAGATGACCAGTAAAATATATTCACGTACCAGCCCTGCAGCTCGATATGACGAAGAGGGTTTCCCAAAATACACACAACTAAGATACGTGTTGTTCTTCAAACAATTGGAGAACCTGGTCATTGCATTTACGACATGATCATGAAATTCGTCGACGAGGGGCGGGGCTTCGAAATCTTCCGCAATTTGTATATAATCACTGAACAGCCTATAAAATATATATCAAATATATAATTAAATAAATCAACAAACTAACAAATTTATTAATAAATAAATAAATCATTTTATAAATAAATAAACAACCAATTTTTAATGAGTTATAGATTTGGGCTGACAGCAAAACCTTTAAAAAAACATTATTTAAAAGTATCGGTTGTTGAATTTAAGTAAATTGAGTTCTGGTTACATGGATTATTAAATTTTAAAACCGTAGATTCTTAATTGTTAAGAAATTATTTTCATACTTTTAAGTAAATATATAAAAAAATAATCAAGGAAAATTAAGAAAAATAAAGATTAGTTCAACCACTGTAACTGTTATCTTTAATGAAGCAAAGGCCGAAATAAAAAAACAACAAATAAGAATGCTACGTTTTTTCAGGTCATGGCGCGTATAAATACCTCTCTAAAGGGTCACACAACAGCACAATAATTCTAGCGTTCGGATTCAGATGTTTGATGACGTCAGCATTTGTATATGGCGGGTCCGTCACGTTCTTTTTCCTTGCCGCGCTTTGTAAGAAGTGATTGTCCCAAATTGTTGATGGTGTAAAATCGCCTACAAATCAAACTTTTTTTGCTTAAGTACTGTATGCAAGGTCCATGATTGTAAATAAGATAAAAAAGTAAGTTATCGAACAAGCATAAAAGGAGTCACAAGTGTTATTTTGATCAATCATAATACTGCAGGGATGTAACGAAGATTTTAATTGGACAGCCATAGTAACTATATTTTCTCCTAATACCAATACATGTACATGGCCCTGCAATTCATGTGTAAATTCTTTTTTTGATTAAAGAACTTGGTTTGAGTTGTATAACATTAGAACAGCTTTAGATGGACCATAAACAAAATTAAATGACAAATGGTGTTGGCTTTACAACTTGCCCGTTTATCTCAATAGGGGTATCGGATTTGTACTCCGGATTTGTAATCTTGACCTTGAGGTTATAAAACTTCTATTTTGAGTTCTGACTCAAATCTCAGGATTTTCATTGGTCAGTGTACATTCTGTGACAGTTCTGGCCAATCAAATTCCTGAGATCTGAGTTTGAGCTTAGATAATGTCTTTTTAACCTTCGGGTCAGTTTTCTTTGGTTTGATCTTCGGGTGAGGCGGTATCTTTTCTCCGAGGAACGGACAAGACAACTGCTCACCCGCGCAATAACAAACCTACATGTTGTACATGTAAATGACCAATGCTTACCGAATATGGCGTTGTGATAGCCGTCGTTAGTTGTAATTCTCTTAATGTCTGTTTCCACGGCATGATAGTAGTATTGTAAATAATCCGATAGTAACGGAAAACCTCCTGTAATTATTATAGAAACTGTTAATGTTTAATGACGTCATATTCATTAAGTCATCGTTTCAAATCCTTTCAAAGAAAGACATTTGCAGTTTAAACGTTAATGTTTAAATCATAATAATGTTTAAATTATAGAAAAAAAACTAAATAATCGAAAAGAGAAAACAATTTATTTTTTTTGCGGGAGGATGTTTATAATGTTTTTTTCTGTGTCCATAAACTTTCTCAATTCGTAAACTGGTATCATATGTAGCTTTTTTTCTCGGCCTTGACCTCTGCTTCTTTTTAATCAAATTTTAACAAAAGAAAAAGAAATGAAAATTTAATTGTGTTCTCTAGCTAATTACTTATTTTACTTATCGTACTACCAAAAAGATCTTTTAGTTATATCACAACATAAAATAATCACTGACAATCTCCTGGATTAGACCCCTATGTATTTCTCAGGAGTTAAAACTTGTAAATAATAAACTAAAGAAAACAGAATGAACATTATATATACTCCAGACCCGAAGGTTATAAAGAAATCTCCAAGCTCAAACTCAGATCTCAGGTATTTGATTGGTCAGAAACTGTCACAGTATGTACACTGACCAATGAAATCCCTTAGATTTGAGTCAGAACTCAGAAAGAAGTTTAATATCATCAAGGCCTGGCCTCAAGGTTAGAAATCTTCATTCTGAGTTCTGTCTCATATCTAAGGATTTTCATTGGTCAATGTACATTCTGTGACCAGTTTCTGACCAATCAAATGCCTGAGGTCTGAATTTGAGCATAGGGAATTTCTTTATACCTTCAGGGCCAGGTTTGAACCCCGGGGTCTATGCCTTTTCACTCACCAAAACGTAGTCTTGTGAACCATCGGTTTCCAGCTTTCATGTTTCCTGAGATTAGAGGATGTTGGGTGAGTCTTTCAAACAGATCTTTAGTTCCGCACTGGGAGACGCCGACAACATAGAAATATGGTAAACAGTTAATCTTAACTTCCGGACCTAGAACCTCATCCAGTTCCTTCCAGCACGGTGATTTGTAATCAGGTAAGAACGGTAACTTTTCCTGGAGTAATATAAAATATACCAAACTCCTCACAGTGATTACTTCCCTTGGCAGATGTACTGATAAGGGGAGATCACTGCGTAGGAGATTGAAAATATACATTCAAAAATCGGATGCGTGCATTCAGGAAGAGAATTTAATGATTTCATTTTGCTTAGTTTAATGAACATGAAACATCATGAATAGATCTATTATAACTGAACGAGAATATGTCATTGTATACCATTTTTATTTATAATTATAATCAGTATTTACAGTCGAAGACATAAGACGGTCAACGTGCTATCTCTTCATATTCAAAACTTGTACTTAATTAGACATCTGTTTCTACAATGTGTTATTGAATTTTGTTTATTAATTTGTACAGTGTATTGTAATCAAGACCAAGGTCACATCAGTTGCGTATCGTAAATCGTTAAACAATGTAGAAGAAAAACATATATAACTCTATTGCATGCTGGGAAAATTGTCGTCTGCAAGAAATGATTAGGTGCGTCCTTCAGTTTCCTCAAAATAAAAGAAAAAGGAATGACTCTCAATATGATTGGTACCAATACGACGAGGTACTCGACATCTAGTCTGGTACCAAGCAAAGAGCAAATGTCAAAATATGAAAAAACAAGATCTGTCGGAAGGACAGTGTGCTCGACTATTCTCAATGTTGGATAGTAAAACAAAAGCCTGGAAAATGTAGAATTTTTCTAAGTTCAAAAAGGGCCATAATTCTGTCGAAATTCATGTTCGAGTTATGGGCATTGGACAGTAAACTCCTTTTATGCTCTCAAATAAGTATGTGAAGTTTCAACTCGTTATTTTCAGTCGTTTTTGAATTATACCAACTTGTGAGCAAAAAAGTAACCAAAGTGTAACGCAGAGGCCGGATTGAGTACAATAGCTCTTCCTATTCTTCGAGTAGTCGATCTAAAATTAGATTATCTTGATTTTGTCACACATGATCATACCGTTAGTTCTGGGGTTGTATCATTTCTTCTTAAAACATCTTTATCAATTATTGGTGGCGCTTTTGTTGTCATTGTTTTTGTCTCTTCCTGTTTGGCCATATGTTGTTTATATTTTTCTAGTGATTCTTGTTTATACGGGGAAGAAGTTTCTGCTTCGCTTCTTTGCTCTATAAATTCTTTTTCTGAAATTTATATTAAAGGCACAGTATGACTCAGAAACAAATAAATTTGTACTTATTTAGAAAAGGTAAACATAATTGAAACTTGTTTAAATAATTGTTTTATAGAAAAAGTAGCGATAAATACGTAGTAATAAAGACATAAAGTAGCAAAATGTAAATAAAGAAGTATTTTGACTGCCATACATACTTATTCTTTATAACTGCACTTAATAAAAAGGAAAAAAAGGGAAAAAAAATGGTTCCATTAATTGGCCAATGAGTGACTTTTTGGATGACATAAAAGTGAGAAAAAAATAGAGGATAAAAAAAAAATCTGAGGCATGATGGGTCTTTAAAAAGTGGAAACTGAAAACTGCCATGACCTGACAATAAATTGACGAGGTCCTTTATTAGTAATTATTGCGTTTATTATAAACGTACAAGTTCATGTCCACTGCGCTAAGATTGTTTTGATCTGCACTTGTTTGCCAACAAAAGCACATGTATGCTAACACAAAGGTGTTCGGCTCATTTGTGTCGTGCCAATAATGGCCAAATTATTATGCAATATTTTTTTCCTTAATGATTGAACAAAATTATTTTCTATATGATATTATTATACATGTATGTAGTAAACAAGTGTGGATAGTAATTTTGTTTCATGAAGACCAAGGGGAGATTATTTTATGATCATTTTAAGGCACATTGTGCCTCAGAAATCCATATATTCTTAATACTTTAGAAATGTCAAACATGTGTTTAATAATGTTTTAATAATGGATTAAGAGCATATCAGATGTTAAACAACTTAAGAAAGTTTTGCTGAATGCGCGTAATATGCCGTAAAGATAGAAAAATGTAAACAAAGTAGTAGTTTGACTTCAATACAAAATAGTCATTAACCCATTGCAAACAGAGTAAAAGAAGTACTAGATAGTTCATCTATGTGGCAAATGAGTATTGTTTTGGAAAGTGTATCAAAATACCCAAAATAAAAAGTTTTTTAGAAATATAAATGATAGCATTTCTGAGGTAAAAATGGCCTTTAACTAAAATAGGTAAGACAAACGTGCCGGACGCCTGTGTGTCGAAGTATACGCCTGTAGAAAATGCCCAAATACATTTTAACAATGTACATGTTTTGTACCGAAAAAACTATTATTTATTGGTAATTATTACTTTGATTCTATTAGTACAATTACTAGAAGTTAATATCTATTGATAAAATGACTTCCGGTTACCAAGTGGTTAAAGTGTCGGTCTCTCAAAACAAGTGATCATGGTTTCGAGCCCTACTCGGGTCACCACGGCCGAATTTCTTTATATGACACTGGTTCTGAAGCGGATTCGATCGTGATTCGCTATCGAGGAAACAATATGTAAACTAAGACTGTTTAATTCAATGATTGAATGCTAAAACTTTGCTTTTCGTAATTTAAGTATTTGATTGAAAAGGACTCCACGGATGTTAAACAAAAAAAAACATAAAAGGATAAAATTTTGAATTCCCTTACATATATCAACTGGCGCACTTAAAACAGAAAGATATACAAAAGATATTCAAACAAATATGCTCGTTTCAGCGGCTTTATATGCCTTCAACAACAAAAATATATATGAAACAATGTGTTTGCATAAATACCTTTTGCTGAAAAGAATCCATGTAAATGTACTGTTCCAAGATATACCAGTAAAATGATGGTTACAACAACTTGTATACACTTAACGACATCTCTAGCCCTGAAGAAATAAAACATTTTACAATATAAAGACGAAACATTTATGACTTATTTTGGGCGTCCGTGGCCGAGTGGTTAAGGTCGTTGACTTCAAACCACAAACTTGCCCAACAAAGAGCTATAGTCAAAATTAATGTCTGATGGGCCTTGGAAGGTGACTTTCTAATATGATCTTAAAGACAAGTTCAAAGTGAATATCTTCAGTATTTTCTAAAGATTAATGTTGCATGTAAAAGTAAATTGTTAAGTTTAAAAAACTCATAATATATATAGTATATTCTGATTGGTTTATTATCTCGTGGCCACGACTTAGCTATCTCGTTCCCACGAGTTAGTAACTCGTGGCCACGACATATATATATATAGTATCTCGTGGCCACGACTTAGCTATCTCGTGGCCACGACTTAGTAACTCGTGGCCACGACATCGTATCTCGTAGCCACGACTTAGCTATCTCGTGGCTACGACTTAGCTATCACGTGGCCGCGACATAGTAACTCGTGGCCACGACATAGTATTTCGCGGCCACGAGGTAAATAAAAATACACACATGTCACCTTTGTCACACCGTACCTATCAGCGAAATTTCCATTTTCTTGTTGGGCGCCGTAACGCATTGATAAACGGCGGTGTATTCCGATAATAGCTAATCGCAACTTTTCGACTTACAAGATAACGATTATAGCCGATGAATTCCGGTTTAAAACGGGTGCTAGACTGGTCCCCTGCGCACTTCTATGGACCATAATAAGAAAGGGGACCAGAATAAAAGGAAAAGGTGTATAAACTACCGAATGGCGCTTTTAAAACGGATAATGTAAAATGAAAATGAACGATTATTTTCACCAACTTCCCCGTTCATAGGATTTGCCTAATTTCATATCATACTTATTATTATGGTTGTCGAAAGCGGAAGTACAAATTGCCTTCCTTTTGACATTTATTCGAATTTGGTTATAATTGTATATCAGTGAGCATTTTTAAATTGATTATTATTGTCAGACATATTTGCAATCATTTTTTTAAAAAAATGGACTTTATTATAATTTGGATGTCAAATATATACATTCGTTATACAGTATCAATGATTACGCCCTCTTTTTGTTTAAATCTAAAACCTAGAGTAAAGTAGAACTACTTTCAATCCTTATTAAGTCCGAGGTAATTATTGATAGTAGCCGAGGACGTTCCGATTGTCAATCCTTAATAAGTCCGAGGTTATTATTGGTAATAGCCGGGATGTTCCGATTGGATAAAATCCAAGTCGTTCCGTACAATTTTAACAGACGACATACTCAATATCTACAACAAAACCTTTATATTTTTCATACTTACCTTATATTTGTAAATTGCCGTAACATCTTTGATAACAAATATAAAGTATTATTTTTAAACTTCCGGACTATCATATGGACAATTACCAATGACCTCATAGGAGTTCAGGTGGTTTTTAGTTTGATATAATAAACAAATAACAGTGTTATTGTCTTAAGTTATTTTGGCAACGAAATATTACACGTAAAGTACTACGTTCTCAGGCAACACGTAGGAATAACATTTGTATTGTATATTATCCAAGTAAAGCTAGCGTCTTTTCCGAATTTGCGGATTAGAATCTATTGTTCATGCATTCAAATTTTTTTCCTGTCAGCCACGTCAACTCAAATCCATAAAAGAGAAAATAAAGAATTCATCTTTATAAAATCACGTGAATAAATCCATTATCACCATTCTTACAAAACATTCATTCCTAACTGTTGAAAATGTAAGATGAAATGATATTTTCACAGAGATAATAAAATATTTATAAATTGATTAAGAATCTGTTCTCGTGAATTCAGCATAAGATATTTAAAAAAAAACCGTAAAGAATTAAATCATTAGACAGCTGTTTTCTTCTCTTCGTACGGAATTATCGTAAACAATGTATGTAACAGATGTCGCAGACGACAAGGTTTTATTTTCAAGTAAAATATTTAAAGTGAGAATACAGATAGAAATCAAAGCACAGAAGGCGCTGAATTTGCTTGGGTCTCAGAATGTCAAAAATGTGAAGGTTGTGATCTCCCCTGAATTTTTCGGCGTTAGTGTACATATAAAGGGAAGTAACCGCTTCTAGCGGACTTCGGCATTTGCAATTAAGAGCATCAGAGTCTGAAATTTCGCTACCATTATTTGTTTGGTTTGACGGCCCAAACAAATAAAAACGCTTGTTTAAAAAATAATTTTGGCTTAAAATGGGAGCATTTTTTTCTGTGCAAAATTTTAACTATAAGTAATATAATGTAGTTACTATAAGTAAAAATATTTAATACAAAACTTTAGACTATTATGGAATTCTATATAAAGACCCATTTAGCCTTAAATTGTTTTTATTGCTCAAAAGCTTTTTTTTTATTTTTGTTCCCTGTTACGGTTTCCAATCATGTACACCTAACCATAAATTTCTTTTTCTGTTCTTTAGCAATTTGTATCGTAAAATAGTTATTTAGTATTTTATGTAGAAGTCAAAATTTTGCTTTGTTTTCATTTCGACCGCTTGATTACATATTATTTCACAGTCACACTTTCTGCCAATTATTGATGTCCATCTAAAATGTTTTAAATTTATAATAGAAAGTAAGATATTATCAATCATATGTTTGCACTTTATGAAAAACAAAAATATCATTCATTTTTGAAGCATAATGTGCCACTAAATGCACATTATAAATAAATGTTTATTCCCTTAGAAAGGGCAAACGTGAATTTTATGTTAAATGATGGTTTTGGGGAATGTTAGATGCTTGTTACCTGAAGAAAGTAGCCATTTATGTGAAATAATTTGTCATAAAAGTATCAAAATGTAAACAAAGTAGTATTTTGACTCCCATGCAAAATACTAATTCAATTTTTGGTAATTTACGTGAATTGTTAAGTGCCGAATTACTTCGTTTGTTCACTTAACAATATTTTACTTTTAAACACATTTTCCAAATTGTTATGAAAATAAGCATGGATCGTGTGGCAGGTTGCTTTCACGCTTTAACTGATTCAAGGAAATTATGACATTGCATTTTATAATTTCTATCTCTCAATATTATATTTGACTGGGTCATTCAACACACAGGTGGCAGTATCATATACCCAGAGCTATCTGTGCCATTTTTAATAAACAAATTTAACAGCAATTAAAGAATTAAACACAAATCAAAAATATTTCGAATTTGTATTTTTTTTTATTATTTATTTTTTTTATCACATAGCTACATTTGTGTCTCTGATTTTATCTAGGGCAGGGCGGGATTTTAACAACTTCAACAACTTAAGCGTCTTACGCACACATCCACTTCACAGAACGATACACACCCTTTATTAATAAAGTATGAGTCCTTAATTATATACTTTTATTTGGAGTGTCTGTAATATTAAACACTTATATGCACGTGATGTGATTTCTTCCTTACTCTATTTGCATTAAAGTGTTTGTTCCACTTTTTATATATCAGCCGTCACATGTTACAATAGATAAAGAGAAATACTTAGAAAACACATTAACACTGAAAATTAAAATAACAAAACAGAATACATGTGATTATTGTTTAACTGTTTTATGCAAGTTAACGCTGAAAGTATTTCCTGTTGCGAAAACAACATATCAAGTGTCATTTGAATAGATGAAATAAGATTTGTTAACTCAAAATTTTTCTTCAAATCATCTTTCTTATGGTACTTAAAAAACGATTGAGCGAGTGTTTTATCAGGGGTTAAAGTTAGCCGAACAACTTTTATTTATCAGGGCAGTTTTTACTTAATCTTATCTACCCATATCTTTAAACTGCGTAATAGCGTCATCATTGCGGTAAAAAATTATTATAATATTAAGTATATTATACTTATAAATGAATATGGAGAAATGTTGATGAAATAAAATGCGTAATTTCAATTTCCGTATTGTCACTGCAGCGAAGCATATTTTCCGTATTTTCAGTGCTGTAAAACATATTTTCCGTATATTCACCGGTGTCTTTACGGACTACTTTCTGCTATATTCAGCCAATATACAAAATTTAAGGGAAAATCTTTGAAACTGTGATGTCAAAAAAGAGAGAGAAAAATGTATATTATAAACAGAAAATTTAAGTTCCTTCTAAAACTACAAGATTTATTTTCATCTTTGCTATGAAAATAAGTATATTTCGCTCTTGGCTATTGCCACTCATGAATTTTTTTACTTTCATACCACTCGCTGAAAATAAAACCTATACTAGTATTTTAAGAAAAAAAATTGAATACACTCTATTTATTATTTAATGACAAAATACACAATACATTTTTAAGGCAATTTATTGAATCATACATTCATGCAAAGGTCACAAACAAATCGGCAAAGCTCTAACAAAATAAAATATACGCTTCATAGATAGAATTTTGTCAATTATTTTAAAGTTAAGCAACAATAATGTTCGAAACGATAGTTTAGTGGAAATAGGATAAGAGAGGCACCACGTTGAATTTTTTAGTAAATAAACATCTTTAATACAAGTTCTTTCATTTTGTTTATCATTTAACAATATCATAATGATAAAGATAACAACGTTAGCTTAAAATTAACAGGATTCGCCATGATGGCAGAATACAAAACAAAACTATCAAATCGTCAATCGCAATTGTTCATTATTCGCTGGATAGCCTATTGTTTGGTAGAAGTTATTTTGAACATTTAACTTGTTTAAATTTCGGACATAAAATTTATGCTGAAGTATTGTAAATACATGCCATTGGGTGTCAAACAGAATGAATATACAAAATATGAATGTGCAAAAAAGTGAACCAAACGTACTTAAGCTAGTATACCCTGTTGCGTTGTATATCTTAATAAAAATAGAGATAATTTGAATGTATATTGTCGTTTTTGTCTGTACATGCTACGGACGCTGTCAAATATCTATCGACGTTTTACATGTTTCTGTTCATTGACCATATTATCATCGTATTTTTGCTCCGCGAGGCGCCAGGCAAAAACACGATGATATTATCGTGTTTTCGCTTCGAGTCCTGCGGAGCAAAAATACGACAAGATGTTGACTTTGTTTTATTTTCGTCATTACGACAATTTCATACCTCATATTGAGTAAAAACGCTAAATAAAAATATCCACTGTGTCGTGTCTAAAAATGAGATACCTCTTCATACATTTATATTGTAAAGTTAATTGTTCGCAACTTTAAATATTCATGTATAATAACAATAATATACAAGATGTACATGTACTGTATATAATTTCAACATAGTTTCTCATTTTCATTTTTACGCAATTGCCTACGAACCAGCAAAGCACCATGAAATAATAATTTGAATAATTATGATGATAATATACATGTATACATGATTATATTTTGGCAATCACCCTCGTGAGTATACAATAACAGTCCTGATAGCAAAATAGTGACTAATAAATAAAGCAGTTTTTTTTTATCTGAACATAGACAGTACTAACGACTGTCAATTGAACGAAATTTCATTTCTACTGTCTTTGCAGTCATGAGTGTAAACTTTTGGATTCTCCAACGTATTGCATCAAGCTCAGGACGAGATGTGTTGTAATACTTTCCGTTCAAATTTGAATGATAACAACTGTTGTACCACCACGCACCATGCCGTCCAAGTGCACAATTGTCGGAATTTTTATCATTGTCTCTGTCAAAAGTTGAGAACATCATTCCATTATGAAAATCTAAGGAATCCCATGCAGTTCCACTATATCCACTCACCTCCAGTTTGTAGTTGTCTTCTTCTGGATATATCTTAAACTTGCTATACTTTGCATATGTACTGTTTCCATCAAAATCTTCCAACTCTATTCTAAGTTCATGTGTTCCATTTGCTGTCAATAAACTTAAATGTTCATTACCGAGCCAGAACTCGCCGTTTAAATCCCCAAAGCCATTTTTATACTCAGCCCAGTTACGATAGAAATCTACCTCACCATTCAGTCTTCTCTGAAATACTATCCAACCCCCACCGTCTGTAGTTTGGTCACAGTAAACCATGAGTCCGTTTCGTAGTTGATGTGTACTACTGTGTGTGATCCCGTTATTGAGTAGTTCAATACAAGACACATGTTTTAATAAGGTTTTAATGTTAGTTGATACTTCTGTTACCAGCGAGTAAACACGTTCTATATTTACATTATTTGCTTCCACATTTGCTGCTATAGCATCAAATCTTTTATTGTTTTCGATGATACTGTAATCGGTATTCTTTTTTACTTGCTCAAGCTTTATAGCGATGTCTTTCAACTGTTTACTGTTGTGTGCAGAAGTTTCATTTATTTCGTTGAGCAATGTTACATGTTTCTTACTGACTTCAGATTCTATCAACTCGCTTGTTTCTTCTATTCTCGATACTTGTGTCAATAAGGGCTTAATGTTGTTTGTAAATAAATCTTCTACCAGCAAGTATATACGTTCTAGTATTTCTTGATTCCTTCCCACCATTGCTGCCGTAACATAATTTCTTTTGCTATCTATAACTGTAATGGCTTCAATTTCACCGGTATTAGTTTTTAGCTGTTCGAGTTTGGAAGTGATGTCTTGCAAATATTGGCTGTCGTGTAAAGAATTTTCATTCATTTCATTGAGCAATGTTACATGTTTCTTACTGACTTCAGATACTATCAACTCGCTTGTTTCTTCTATTCTCGATACTTGTGTCGATAAGGGCTTTATGTTGTTTGTAAATAAATCTGTTACCAGCAAGTATATACGTTCTATTATTTCTTTATTCCTTTCCACAGTTGCTGCCGTAACATAATTTCGCTTGCTATCTATAACTGATATGGCTTCAATTTCATCGGTATTATTTTTTAGCTGTTCGAGTTTGGAAGTGATGTCTTGCAAATATTGACTGTCGTGTAAAGAATTTTCATTCATTTGATTGAGCAATGTTACATGTTTCTTACTGACTTCAGATACTATCAACTCGCTGGTTTCTTCTATTCTCGATATTGCCATGTCGGTCTTATTTAAACTTATTTCACAATAGGGTTCCGAAATTTCTCTCCGAATCCTTGTCGCTTCCTCATTTCTGAATTCTGATTCTGAATTAACTCTATTCTCTAAGTTTTGTATTCTTTCTTGCACAAGTATCAAGTCATTAGCAGAAGCATAAAATATTCCAACTATCAGCAGAGGGATAAACACGATTTTCATTTTTGGCAGGCAGGTGCTTATTTAAAGTTTTATGTATGTAAATCCTACTGCCTCAATTTTGACATCTAACTGTTGGTTCCTTTGAAAACAATTATGCTGATTTGTTAGCTATATTAGCATATAATACACAAAAACTATTACGTTGTTATTTAGGTACTTGAGACACTTGAAGGCAAGAGCAAGGAAAAACCAAAGCTTATTACTTGCACGTGCATTATTAAGTTGAATTCAGCATGAGTAAAAGTTTTTTTGCAGGAAATTCTTTTAATTTTTTTCTTAATTAGTTAATTATGTATTTTATTTAAATAATTCTGCCTTTTAATGTCAATCATTGTATTAAAAGATATATATTTACTAAGATGGATAATGGTGATAAATTTCTGTTAATATAAACAATCCGCCTTGATCAATGAACATACATGTATATATATTGATTATCATAGTATAAAAATATCATCAAAAAACGTTCGTTGTCGCATGTCACTCAATATATATACATTTATAATATTGTATTTAGGTCTTTTTAAACACTCGATGATTATAGGATGACGCTTGTCCGCACGCACCCAGGTGACATTATAAGATGAATGTCCGCGTTCATTGTGTACAGACTGTATTTATGGGGGGAATGTTGCTAATGGGGTGAAAAACGATTGCTTAAGGGGTTTGCAGATCAAAAAATAGAAGATTAATTGCCCCATTCAACTCGCCCATCTGTCTGTTTGGCACCCAAATAGCTTGATAACTATTCTGTATATGCTGTATCCATGCTTGGTATGCAGATTGATCATATCTGGTAGATGACTATGATGCCAATCAAATCGATAAATCGGGAAGCCGATAGCCAATCAGTGATAAGAATTAAAGCACACCTACAAACGGTGTTATCTGAGACATCTCCCTTAGACATTGATGTTAAATAACTGACGGTACCAAATCGTTTCTTACTTATGAAAAACGGATTATAAAGTTTGTCGTAACGATATACATGGTTTATGTATCACTTAAAGCTACCAACACAACTCTTGCCATACTAGACTCAATGTTAGGAGTTTAGACTTTCAGTTTCAAATTTAAGACTGTTGGTTTGATTCTTAATAAAACATTATTTTTCATGCTTTTGTTATGATATTTTGCGAACCTTGACTACTAAGTTTTTGTACATGCCTTTTCTATCATTAAAAATCAATAAGTAAATCGTAATAAATTACGGAAACTAAAGAAAAGGCTTCCGAATATTACTGAATCTCGTGTCAATATTGCCAAACAAAAACTATTATTTTTCTGTGAGCGCATATTTTGTAATTTAAATTATTTGTGTTGGATTGAAAATAATTGTATAATATGTTTCCCGATGTAATTCATTTAAATCTTTACAAATGTGTCTAAAAATCTGTAAAACAAGTTTGCAAATTCAGAAAAAAAGTTTAGAAATTAAGATCTGGTAATTTTAAGTATAATAATCAACAAAATTAATAAATCAATCAATAAAAGATTAATTAAGATCATTGCGCAACCTAGGATGTCTTTCCAGGCGCAACGAAAATCAAAGTGTTAATTATTTTATGAATTTGTGATTAAAAATATGCCAGTTATAAGTTATAAATTATTTAATCTTTTTTACATACAAAAGACATCTGTTCGAACACTTTCCTAATACCAAGTAATTTCTTTGGTACAACCTGATATGCTTTTTCGCGGCAAGAAAATGACATAAAGAAATTCATGACAAAATGTTGAATACCTCGAAAAATGTCCATTCATGCTCTTTATAAACGATTCTTTGTGTACCAGTTTTATATCATTGTGCAGAATAACAGACAAATTTAAGGATCTTTGTACGGGATTATGCTTTCAAGAAAGGCCATACATAGATAGTATAATATTATGGAACGAAAAGTCATTGTATTTCGTTGTTTTCGTGTTTGTTTAATATTTTGATAGTTTATCCTTTTTACAAGTGTAATAAAACTGAATTAAAAGAATTGTTATCTAGCAACTAACGGCTTTCTTCAACATAGAACATTACGAAAAAAAAAGATCATTATAACAGCGATTAAGCATTTTTATATGACAGCAATCAACGCAGTTTATTTTTTCGATAAATATTTATTTAGCCTCAGCAAATACATTACATCCACACAACCAAGGGTAAAAGAACTTAAAGGTAACAGCATTAGGGAATACAGTTAAGCTCACATAACCCCCGGTGATAGGCTTTATAGAGATTTATTACAGCAATTAAAACCACAGTGGTACCCTCAGGGAATACAGAAAAAGATCACACAACCTATTTAGGCCTATGAGAGGTTTCTTATCTCAAAAATAAAACAAGATAATACGGTGATAGCCTCAGGGATCACACAACCCACGATGACAGGACTTTTAGATGGTTCTTATTGCAATAATCCCAAGGTGATAGCCTCTGAAAAAACATTTTTTTAAGTTCACACAGCCAAGGGTAATAGGAGTTATAGAGGATGATAGCCTCGAGAAATACAGAAAAAGCTCACTCAACCAACGGTGATATGCTTTTAGAGAGTTCTTCTCGGGACCAATGAAACCCATGGTGATGGCCTCAGGAAATACAGTAAGGCTCACACAACCCACAGTGATATGCCTCTTAGAGAGTTATTATCGCTATAAAACTAACAGTAATACCCTCAGAGAATACCGAAAAGCTCACACAACCCACCGTAAAAGGCTTTTTAAATTTTTATTGCAATTAACCATGATGATAACCTGAGTGAGTACAGTGAAAGTCACACAACCAACGGAGAGGGTTCTTATCGAAATGCAAAACACAGTGATGGCCTCAGGGAATACAGTAAAGCTCACAAATACCACGGTAATATGATTTTTAGACTTTTCTTCTGGCAATAAAACCAAAGTTGATAGCCTCAGAGAATACAAATAAGCTTACACAACCAACGGTAACAGGCCGTTTAGGGCGTTCTTTTCAAAATGCAACACAATGTGATGGCCTCAGGAAATACAGTGGAACTCACAAATCCCACGTTTAAAGGACTTTTAGAGGTTCTAATAGCAATAACACCCAATGTATGAAATACAGTATATCTCACCCAATCCACGGTGAAAGGCTTTTAGATGGTTGGTATTGCTATGAAACGCACGGTGATAGCCTCAATGAATACGGTTGAGATCACACAATCTACGGTGATAGATTCAGAGGAATCTTACCGCAATGAAACTCACTTTGATATCCGAAGGGAATACAATACTATTCGACCAACCCACGGTGATAGGCCTTTAGATGGTTTTTATCGCAAAAAAGCCACGGTGATAGCCAAATTGGATACAGTTAAGCTCGCACAACCCTCGTTTATATGCTGTTAAAAGGGGTTTGATCGCAATAATACCAACGGTGATATCTTCAGAGAATATTGAAAAGCTCACACAAGCAAAGGTGATAGGCCTTGATAAGATTCTCATTGCAATTATGCCCACGGTGATAGCATCAGAAAATACAGTAAAGCTCGCACAAACCACGGTGATATGCCTTTTAGAGGGTTCGTTATCGCAAAAAAACCAAAGGTGATAGCCTCGGGGAATACAGTAAAGTTCACACATCCCAAGGTGATAGGCCTTCAGAAGGTTTTTACTAAGTTTTACTATCGTTATTCAGATTTATAACGTTGGTATGATTTTAGATGTTTCTTCTGGCAATAAACCCAAGTTGATAGACTCAGGGAATATAGTTAAACTTACAAAACCAACGATTATATGCCGTTTAGGGGGTTCTTTTCAAAATGCAACAGACGGTGATGAACTCAGGGAATACAATAAAGCTCACACGTCCCACATTGAAAGATTTTTAGAGGCTTTTTATAGCAATACATTATATTTCACTAAACCAACGGTGATAGGCCTTTTAGACAGTTCGTATTGCAATGAAACTCATGGTAATAGCCTTAAACATGTCAAAGAATGCGGAAGAGATCACACAATCCACGGTGATAGATTCAGAGATATCTTACCGCAATGAAACCCAATATAATAGCCGAAGGGAATACAATAAAGCTCAAACAACCCACTATGATAGGCCTTAAAATGGTTCTTATCGCAAAATATTCCACGTTGATAGCCAAATGGAAAGCAGCAAAGCTCGCACTACCCACGTTGATAAGCTGATGGTATTTATCGCAATTACACCCGCGGTGAGATCTTCACAGAATATTGAAAAGCTAAGAAGAAAGGCATTAGGAGGGTTCTCATTGCAATTATGCCGAAGCATCAGGAAGCAAAGTATATCTCAACTTACGGTGATAAGCTTTTTAGAGAGTTCATTATCACAATGAAACCAACGTTGTGACCTCTGGGAATATTGTAAAGTTCACACAACCAAGGTAAACGCCATTTAGTGGGTCCTTATCGCAATAAAACCCACGATGATAGCCTCAAGAATACACTAAAGCTCACACAAACAACAGTGATAGGCCTTTTGGAGAGTGCGTTATTGCAATAAAACCCTTGTTTATAGCCTCAGGGAATTCAGTAAAGCTCACATAACCCACACAGGAAGTCCTTTTAAAGGGTTCTCATGGCAACAAACCCCTAGGTGAAAGCCTCAGGTAATACAGTAAGGCTCAAACAACCAACATTGATAAGCTTTTCAGAGTGATTTTATTGCAATAAAACCTAGGATGATAGCCTCAGGGAAAAATAACGCTGGTACAACCCATCGTGGTATGCCTTCAAAAGGTTCTTAACACAGTAAACAAAACACACAAACCATTTGTGATAGGCTTATTAGAGGGCTCTCATCGCAATTAATCTAATTGTGATAGCTTCAGGGAATACAGTAAAGCTCACACAGCCCACAGTGATATGCCTTTAAGACGGGTTCTTATCGCAAATGAGCCACGGCGATAGCCTCAGGGAATACAGTAAATCTATTACAACCCACAGTGGTATGCCTTTTAGAGCGTTTTATCGCAATTAAACCCACAGTGAGAGCCTCTTTGAGTACAGTAAAGCTCACATAGGTCTTTCAGAGGGCGTTTACTGCAATATAACCCACAGTGATGGTTTCAGGGAAAGCAATAACACGGTGAAAGGCCAGTCTGCACAAAAAGCCACTGAGTGTCTATC